GGGGACATGGCCCAGGGAGGTGTCCAGGCATCCTGAACAGATGCCCAAACCACCTCAACTGGTTACTCTCTGTGTGGTAACCGAGCTCCTCCCGTGTGACTGAGCTCCTCACCCTATCTCTAAGGGAGCGCCCAGCCACTCTGCAGAGGAAGCTCATTTTGACCGCTTGTATCCGCGATCTCGTTCTTTCGGTCATTACCCAAAGCTCATGACCATAGGTGAAGGAGGGAACGAAGATTGACCGGTAAATCGAGAGCTTTGCCTTTCGGTTCAGCTCCCTCTTTACCACGACGGTCTGGTACTGCGACCGCATCACTGCGCACGCTGCACCGATCCGCCTGTCAATCTCACGCTCCATTCTTCCCTCACTCGTGAACAAGACCCTGAGATACTTGAACCCCTCCACTTGAGGAAGGGCCTCTCCACCCACCTGCAGAGGGCAAGGCACCTTTTTGCGGTCGAGCACCATGGCCTCAGATTTGGAGGTGCTGATTCTCATCCCAGCTGCTTCACACTCGGCTGCAAACCGTCCCAGTGCATGCTGCAGGTCCTGGTTCGTTGGAGTCAAAAAGCAGAGATGGAATCCAGTGGTCTCCAAACCGGACCCCCTCTAGATTGAAAACCTTAGATTTGAAATGAGGTATACGTGCCACAGTGTGACGTCTGCACAAATCCACCACCATCTCCTTGGTCTTCCCTGCATTGATGAGGAGGTGGTTCACTGACACCAGTTCACAAAGTCCTGTGTTAGTCCTCTGTACTCTGCGTCGTCAAAGAACTTCTGCAGGACACAACTGTCCTTGTTCTGTCTGCAGTGTAGACTTCTAACAATACAAATCCTTTTGGGACAGCTTTGGTTTTTTTCCCCCCTAGATTTAAGCCCTCTTATCCCCAAGTCTAGAGAGTATACAGTGCACTTCATAATTCACAGCCTTAATTTGAGAAGGCAGACTGTCCAAAAGCTGCACATTGGCAGTACGCCAAGTTAATGCAATATTTATACATTGCATACAAAATATTTGAGGAAAGTGGAAACATGAATTGATGAGTTTTCCAAAACTTAATAAGATTTGTAACTTTTAAATATATGATTGTGATAAAGCCCATAATTTCATAATTTCTGCTGCTTGCTTGTAGAGTGAGCTGATGTGTTTCTCTACATGCACTAGTCATTTTCCTGAAGCTTAAAAAGTGATGGTGTAGCATTTACTGTAACAAGCTGGATATAGGAGCTCACTGCAGCTGATTTAAAATGCCTGAAGGTTTGGTCTGATGGAGTAAGAGGGTTGTGGATTACGTTAATCTGACACCTGATAATACTGCGCATGTGTCCTGTACACCTGACCCTGCACAATCCACTAAATCACAGCTTGTTCTCAAAAGCGTAATCAAATACTGCCACGTTCTTCACACTCAATTTTACTTCATGTATAGACTCTAATTGAAATAAACTTGTGATTTCTTCTTTGCCCAAACACCAGTGCCCTAATGAGTGTGTTTGAGCAGGTATAGCGCTGAATGTAACCATCGCGCAGGCAATTCATTGGGTCTCATTACGGAGTTGTTGTAAGCCACATTAGAGGCCTGGGTGACAAATGACTTAATGAGCTACACAGGGAGTCCCAATTATTCCACAATTAGAAGTGTAATTATGGGTTGCTCCAGTAGTTTGATCGCTGCCGGGAGCAGTGAGAAAAACCAAAGTCATGAAAGGTATTCAGTCTTCTTTGGGTGAGATCGTGAAAAGACCTAAACTTAACTGTAAAAAAATCTAATACGATTCAAAGTTTACACATTTTTAAAGCCCTCGCGGGATGTGTCTCTACAGAACATGTTAACCTCCCAAGGCAGAAAGGTGCGAAATGTGACAAAGCTGACGAATGTGTTTGAGGTTTTGAAATCTCTTTGGCTTCGTCTTTTGCACTTTTATCATAACATTCAAAGACAGCCTTTCGACATCATAACAAGTTGTCTCATCATGAAATAGTAATGTGTAATCCTGCCTTGACACTGGTTTACTTTGCTACGGCTACGTTGATACATGTTTTTTTATATCTCTTTTTTGACAATTGCATTATTTTATGTTATTGTTCCATGTCCAATAGAAAATAACTCTATAATCTCAATTGGGCTTTCACATTCAAAAGATATAGGTCCATGAGGCGTCAACATATACACAGTATGTTACACACAGGTTTAAATTTTGTCTGTGTCTTAATCTGTACAATAACTCCAAAATCAGCTCCTTGTTATGATTGTTCCTTTTGTTTCTTATGTTGGCCTCACCACAAGGTCAGCGGTGCTGGGTTGCATCAGGGCCGTATTGATCCCTGGGGGTAATTTATCTCTTCTGCTGGGTTCAGGTGCGCAACACGAACCTCAGGCTGCCATCGTTACTTTAGGATATTACAGCCAGCACAGGGTCAACTCAGCCAAATGCCCAATGTTCCTGTTAAACTTGTTTGGGGAACGTAAGCCACTTTCTTGTTGTTGTGCATGGTTACATTATTCATATTTGTAGAAGCCACTGAGTCATATTCTGCTGATGGGGCTGGGGTCAGTGTGCACGGGGATGCACTGTAGTGACAGATGAGAGCTAAGGCCACACAGTCGCTGCTCTCAGCCCACTCCCTGCAGCTTTCTCTACATAAATACTATAAAACCAATAGCATGATTGAATTACTGCATTACTTTTACTGAAAAAGGGCATTGCAAAAGGGGTAGGTGTTAATACACATCTTGCTTCAGCCGCTGTCGATGCTTCTCCTGAACCTTGTGGTTATTTCAAAACAGGCTGGACAATGTGAAACTCTGATGCTCATTTAAAGTTAATAAATAAAATCAAATTGAGAGTACGTTTTGACTGCATTACTCATCAAATTAAACCAACACAGTCTAATAATTAAGCACAGCATGAAACACAAATGAAATGAAAGACTGCAGATACGGTTTCAACTGACTTTTAATTGGACTTCACATAAATAACATTGTTTCATTTATATTTTGTATAGAATACAATTTTATATAATATATATTTCCCCCTCACAATTTACATCCTTCTCTGGCTTAAATTCTCTTTTTATATTCATGGAAACAATAAGCCTTGTCTCACAGCAAAGCCGCTCTTTTGTGCTGTTTATCAAGGTCCAAACGGCAAAAGAAGAGGAGCTTTTCTCTTTTATTCCTCATAAAAAATAATCTCCCCAGTTACACCAACCAAAAGAAAAAAAGAGAAAACTATTGCATGTCTCTAGGGTTTGCACTGCACTACAAGGAGGAGTGGGAACCTATTGAAGTTCATTCATTGTATATATTTGGGATGGGACACAGAAGGGCACAGCAAATATCTGATATGAATGGTAATGAAGAGTCTTGGATGTAAAAATATAGTGTTTTTGAGGAAAAATGAACCAAACACCTCGTCTGGAAGTGGCCTATTCTGACGATGAGAAAAAAATGGTACATCCGCAGCACAGCACGGTCAGAAAATCATGCAGTGACCTGGCCAGCATGCCGCACAGATGAGCTGAGCTGTCAGTCCACATCGCAAATCAACACGCTGCCAATTGGACCCTCTCTGACCGATGTTATTTAACAAGATGAAGGACTATCTGGATGCCAGGTAGAATGTTCTAATTTTTCAGTCAGAAAAATAAAGAAAATCTGGTCTTCTTCCTGTTTGCCAAATGCACTTTAACCCAAAGGATCATCCCGCTGGAAGGTAGAGATGCTGCTAAATATTGCGGACAGCAGTAATATTCTTTCAATTCAACTGAAATGTTCACGTTTAGCGTACGAACTCCAGTGTATTTTGACGTCTTAATACAGATTATAATACCTACGCTAGAAGATTAAATTTGATTGTCTACGTCAGAGCGTTACCTGAATATCAAGACTTACACAAGATGTTCGTTCAAAGCCCAGTGGATCCTGTTGAAGACGAACCTAAATGATATGTCCAAGTCTGCACATAGACCAATGATCATGCATTTACAGAGACAAGCAAATCAAATGTTTGTGTGAAAGATTAAGCACAGAGGAAACACCATCATGCCATGACACAGTGACAGACAGACGCTTAGTGACAACCCTAAAAGCTCTTCACCAAGATTTAAAACAAATCCCTTTTTAAGAACGCAGAAAGAGCAATTAGAAAGGAAGAAAACAGTATTATTGCAATAGACTTATTATCATCATGGTTATAACCAACCATAATTCATATTCAAGTTGAGGCTGACCACAATGAGCAGCTGTGACGTGTGCGGCCCTCGCTCACTCAGGCCGCACCTACTCAAAGGGCTGGAAGTGTTTGTAAAAGTGCATCACAAATATCATTGTGAATAATCTTTACGGTAAATCTCAATTTTGTCTTAAATAACACATTTTACTTTAATACTCAATAAACATCTTTTTTTGTACAAGTCAAATACGCACAAGGCTCTAGTCTCGCATCATGGGGGGAGCAACTTTCGAACTTCCTCAAACGCTGACGATTCCGTGTAAACCAGAACAAATAGGGTCAAATCTAGGAGGAGGATCATGGTCACTGACACTAGATTACCGAAAAGTAATTAAAAACGTGTCCACCGAGTTAAATTAATGTAGGCAAAGGCCCAGTATCGACCTGTGGACTGTATGAAGGCACATCCACAACTACCTGGTGAACTCAAATGGACATACTTGTGACCATGTTTTTGATGGTGGTGTCCTTTATGGTTGAAAAAAAGCTCTAAAATAAAAGCAAACTCAGATAAAAATCGATCCAAGTCAAAAATAAGGGAAGACCATGGTCACTAATCACTGATGAACTGGTGCGCATTTGGCGGGCTGCAGGGATTTAAAGCAAAACAGAAAAAGGGTGTGTGCATATTCCCAACACTTCCTTTCCCCCTCGTGTGTGTCCGCTTTGCTGAGTGAGAGCACAGTCTCTTCAGCTGTTGACGTCTGATCTCCAGCCTCAGTGCTCTGTTCCACATCCACAAGACCACCGCGCTTTCCCATCAGTGACAATTCTTCATCCCGGTCAAGTAGGGTGACTCCTGCCGACACAGCCCCATCTGCTGCTGCTGCTGCTCCTGGTGCTCCGAGGAATTGCCCTCCACAAAATCCGGCACGGGGAGTCCTGAGAGGATCATGACCGACTTGTTCCAGATCATGAAGGTGGGCACGACCGGCAGCAGGAAGGAGATCTCGAAGGTGTGTATGTGTTGCGAGCTCATGGCGTCGTGGAAAGAGAGAGAGTTGTTGTCGTAGTCCAGCAGCACTCCCAGGCGCCGCAGCTGCAGACTGGCCTCCACCAGCATCTCCTTCCCCTCGTGGCGCACCATGAAGTTGTTGTTGCACCGCGAAAAGACCCACGAGGACGAGTTCTTGCCGCTCCACTCATTTTTTGGGGCGGATTTGTAGGCGACGCCGATGGCATACCTGCGGGGACAGAGCGTAGAGGCATTAGCGATGCATTAGTCATGTTGAAACCCGTGTTTTCAGTGTTTGCACAGTCAGGAGGCCTCATGCTGGGGGAACACGACAGCGGCAGGCCCACTGGGAACGTACGGCATCAAGGGCTACGCTTCACAGCCAATTAGAGAAGTCCATGTAATTAGGCTAAGAGTATACGTGGTGATGCAAGAGTTTTGCATAACGGCCTAGATTGCAAATCCCCAAAGAAGGTCTGAATAACTCAGATGCAAAAAATAAATCTGATTGTTATTATTTTTTTTAAACTTGTTCTCCAACTGACTCGTGATAACTCCAGTATTTATTGCCCATGTTTGACACTTATTTGTAACTTATTTGCACTAAATACAACACAATACAAAAAAAACTTTTAAGAATTTACTACTTCAGTAATGTATATTTTCTGGATTAGAATAACTCTTTCATTAAAAGTTTTGGAGCACAGGTGGCTGCGGCTGTAAAGTGCCAGAACTGTCATGGTGTCCTTAGGCAAGACACTTCACCCCCATTTCCTAGAATGAGTCTAGTGTGTGTGTTAATGGCTGCTGGTGGGGCCGATGGCACATACTGGTTCCCATCTTCTGTCAGTGTGCCCCAGGGCAGCTGTGGCTACAGTAGTAATTTATCACCACCGTGTTTGGAGTGAAAGAATAATTAAATGTGAAGTGTCTTTGAGTGTCCTGAGAAGTTCTATATAAAGCCAATGCATTATTATTATTATTATTATAATATGTCTATAAAAGGGTTTTTTAGTTTTTATGTCTCCTGCTTGATAATTTTTGATTATTTAAGACTATAATCAATAATATTCATGCCGCATTTACAGATGTTCATGAATGTGTACTGTCCCTATCAATAAATAAACAAATAAAAAAACAAGCTAGAAGGCGACACACATTTCACCAGTTTGCACCAGTTTCTAAGTTGCCCTGGAGTATGTGGTGGAGCAGTTCTCACCACGTGGACGCTCCCAGCAGAACCTCCCAGTAATGGCAGCCGCTGTCGATGAAGACGTTCCCCGCGGCGCCGTAGGAGCCGGTCCCACTGAAGCGCTCGGGGGTGTGGCTCTTCTTCAGAGAGCTCTCGTCCTTCTCCATGGTCAGACAGTCATTGGACAGACGCAGCTTCTTATGAGCCGTCTTAGGGTCCAATTTAAACGGCTGACCTGAGGGAGGAGCACACAATCGATGGGTGTGTAATCAGAAATACATAGTCCACACAATGACCATGAAATTCTGAGCAAAATACCAATAAAGCATTTCAATTCAACAGCCATAATGGTTTCAAGTGTGCAGCAGGTTTCATTTTAACACATTTATTAGCTTACTATTTACTGGTTCGATTGGAAGTTGAAGAGATTCTGGTTGAGTCCTGACAACCAGGAAGTACAGTATGAGTACATTTAGGGCTATGCAGCTAGAACAGTCTGGCCAATCTGGCCAATAACAATTTATTTTTGAATAGCCCAAAACAGCAGTCATCTTGGAAGACTTTACAAAGTTATTGATTCACCAAAAACAGATCAGAGAATCTAACAGTTTGAAAATAGAAATGAAACAACAACAAGATTTATTTCAGTTCATACTGTGTTTTAGTTTTGTGAAATCAAATTGCAATCTTGTTTTAAAGAGCAACACAAGGGCCTTTGTGATGATAATGAGGGTTGTCACCTCGACAACATTAACAATAATACATTTTGTATTAAAAGCTGTTGGAGGTCAACGAAATCATGCAATGGGAGAGCTAGAAAAATGTTGTGTCCTAAACTTAAACCTTAGTTCCAGGAACAGTTTACAATCCTGGAAATCTTCATGTCCTTTTTTCCTTTTTTAAGACTGAAAAAGAAAATAGGAGATGAGGTGTTTTCCGGCGCATTACAGCAGGAAAAGTAAATAAAGTGGTGAGAAGTGCTGGCTGGGAACTCACAGTGAGACACAGAGGAGAGTGTTTGAAATACAAGGGCGAGTGTCTGCACTTCAAAGCTCAGCACAGCCTTTGGAGAAAAAGACTTCCTAACAGCAGAGGAAGCCACCCAGCTCCTCTGAGTCCACAACACATGGACTGGGAAATGAGCAGAGAGACACAGCCTTCACTTGCACTCTGGCAGGTCAGAGTGGTCTTTCACAGAAAACGGTATCTTTGACTTTTCAATTCAGGTAATCTGTGAGAGAAGCTCTTGAGAAAGAGCGAGAAACAAGACCATAAGAGCTGAAAGAGACACACATGTACGGCACACACTCAGATTATGCCTCGGTCCCTGTCTCCTTGCAGCGCTGACATTTAACTGTGACACTCCTCATCTCGTCCTCCAAACTCCCACAGCTTAATGACACAATGAGGACCGACTGCTTCTCTCTTCACCTCCATCTTGGCTTCCTCCACCTCGCTCTCCCCCAATAATCCATGTGCTGTGCGTGTGTAAACGCATGTGGATATGAGACGTCAAGGCCAATGTGCTGCTGGCAGCCAATTACATTAATGCGCTCTCTTCTTTGAACTGCTTATCGCTGCCAGCGCAGCCATTTCCAAACACTGCCGCTCTGTCATGGCTTTTGAGCCTGACTCTGGAGACAGTGGGCTGGGGTTCAGGGCGGCATGTGAGGCGAGGACATCACACAAACACATTTACACAGCCAAAGGACAGCGCACATGTGATAGACTAATGCCAGCAAGACGTGCGCAGAGCAAGGTCAAGCAGAAGAAGTTTAAGACTTAAAATGTCTGATCTATATTCAGATGTCCGGCTCATCGGACCAGTAGAACCAGTAAGGCTGCTATACATCCACGTGGACTGGAGAGACTTCTTTCTTTACTGTTCCTCATGTCACAGGGGTTTGGCGTCACTTGGGAGACGTGTTTACTCCATTACCCTCAAAAATTTAACTTCTGATGTGTTTTTTGTTCATAACTGTTGCCAACTCCTTAATGGGGAAAGGTTGATGTCCTGGTATGGAATTAAAGCAGGCCAAAAGGTGATGTCAATATTTTTACACATTTGTGAAAAGGGACGAGCAGTGAACTTTTAGTGAAGGAAAATACTTAAAACATATTTGTAATGCTATATTGTGCATTTCCTCAAAAACCAACAGTAGGAAAGGTTAGTGTGTGTTATGCTGATTATTTGACAGAGGCTTCGTGACAAAATGAAATTCTCAAAGAATTGTGCCTAAACCAGATATTTGGAAAACTGTAGGCACAATAAACGAGTTTCCTCTTGTCACTCAGGCCCCAATGGTACATCCCATTTATCCAAACAACACATAATTAAAAATGGCTATGCATTAGCAGCAATCAGATCTCCACACAATGTAATCTAATTAAAAGTAATATAATGACTGCTGCTGCAACAACAAGGCTTAATTGCAAATCAGATTTAGACATAGTGTTGAGCTGCTATATGCAAATGTTTAAATAAATACTGATAATACATTTTATTCAGGACACAGGAGACAACTAAATCTTAATTAGTACGGAACAAAAAGATATGATCTGAGAGACAGACTCAGTAACATTCAGCAGACAGCGACACAAATAAGCATTTTTTATTTCCTTTTCCCATCTCATTCTATTACCAATTAAAAAAAATGCAAAGAACATTTGTTAAGAAGCCAATCTACGAGACAGATTCTCAGTAATAGACCTGATTCAACACAATAACTTCAGTCCAAGTATTTACCTTGTATTACTGAGAACATTTCTACAATGCCAAGCAATTACAGCAAAAGCAAATCAGCCTTTTTGTAAAAACACTGTGTAAAAACACTTGGGTGAATGCACACAGAACTCTTACCTGCACTGACATCTCTCTGAGCCCGCAGCCTCCAGACAAGCCCTCCCGTGTCATTAAACAGGTTGGCTTAAGGGCTTTGCTGACATCTACATTACATGACAACGCTCACCACCGGCGTTAGCAAAAACTGCAGTTAAATAAGGGGATAAAAGGCAATTTCCAAACAAATGTATGGTACCAGTCAGATCTGTGGAGACACTGGTCCAGCTCTTTGCTCTGAGAAGTGAGGCGTATTGCTGTGATTATATGTGTTGTTTTGTGTTTTTACCAGTGGGGGCGGGTCCCGGCTCAAAAGTGGCCAAAATGACGTGCGTGACTACGTCCCTTAATATATAGAGTCTATGGTTTTTATGTGATGTGTTTGTCTTATCCCGCACCATGAGTGTGTACTAAGTTTGATGAAGATGATGATGATGAAATGTATGCAGAAGGAAAAGTAAATGAGCCCTTGGTGCACCATCAGGCACCGTCATTGTGATGTGAAATAGTTCTCTTCAAAGACAAAAACAAGATATTGGCAGCAGACAGCTTTAAGAATCTACAGGATTGAGAGAAGAATATTCTTTGGTAATAGTTTTTTTCCCCCAATTCTCTTCCACATCTAACCCCACTTAAATCTCAGTTGCAGTGAGATTTTATTTAATTATTTCTGAGACCCGAAAATGGTCTGAAACACATGCACTGATCAAATACTGAAGCCGATATGGAGCTGTCTTTGTTCACAAACACTGAACAGGTCTATAATTTTCCAAACGTAAATATTGTTCCTCTTGTGTGAAAATATTGTATATTTTAATACGACAGTCGGCACATCTGATAGCTTTGTTCTTTCTTTACTTGTGTCACACTTTATATGTACTTTTGCCATAACATAATAAAATATATATAACATAATAATATATATAACATAACATAATTATATATAACATAATGATACTAATAATAATAATTTAGCAGTACAAGCTTCTTTACATTTTTGTCTTATTAAAAGAACCTTCTAAGCCTTAAACATAAGAAGACACTAGCGCTGCACGATATTGGAAATTAGAGCGATATTCGATATGAGTGTTTAGTATTGCGATAACAATATTATTGCGATATTTTTGTCTTTCACCTAAAATTGCAATCTGCATTGAAACAAAAGAGATACATTTCAAAAAATAAGCACAACATTAATGACATTCAAATGCATATATTTATATACTTTTTTGTTTGTTTGTTTTTCTTGTTGAATGTCGATGTGTCTGTCTGTTTTGTTATCTTTAATAAAGGAAAAAAAAATCCTTTTATCCCGCATCTTTTCAACAATGATTTTTTTTTACATTTAATTGGTATTTTAATATGTATGCTGGTAACTTTTTTTGAACTGTATTTTAATATGTAAGTTATATGATTCTATTGTCTAGGACTACAGCACGGTGCTAAATCTGGTGCAGCCATCTTTTTTTAATGTAACTGCACATTGTCCCTAATAAATTAAACTTAAACTTAATCAAGAATAAATCCACTTTTGTTCAGAAAAGGCCGAATAAAATATGATTTGTACATGATTACATATTGTCAGGGGACACGGGAAAGATGTAGATGTAATTTAAAATGAAGATATTACATACGGCCCCTTTAACCAAATATTCATTAATTTTTCAGATCACTTTCTCTAATCGTGTCGCTGTCTTGCGGCTGCTCCAGGCCGTGCTCCTCTCAGATCCAGCGTCACTACAGTTCCTCCTCTGCATTTTACAGTAGGGGCAGCGTGAAGCTTGAGGCCTGTCATCACAGGAGCATGCTGGGTAAATATTGTTACAGGTTCTTTCAACAGACCATAAAGAACTGGAGCCATTTGGGAGATCTCATGTGTATCTAAGACCGAATCTGAGGACACGGACAGATGTTTGCTCATGTCTGGATCCAATAATCAAATAATGAAATATTCAAAATGCAATTATTTGTTTAAAAACTCCCTCTTCTTCGGTCTCGACTCCTTCTCCTCTTCGCATCCGACTGGTTCAGAACGCAGCAGCCAGACTCCGCACTGGTTTTAAGCATCTCTCCTCTGGCTCAATGTGAGTTTTTATATAAATGTAATTGTTTTTATCATATAGTTTTTTTGAATAGGGACAGTAAGTACACATTAATGAATTGTAAAATGGCAGCAAAAACCACCACATGTTTAAGATTTTACTGATCACTTTTAAAGCTCATTTAGGTCTGGCACCAAGCTGAATTTTTAACCCCCCCTGCAGCCTTATATCTTTGGGCTGGTTCCTGTTGGCTGTTCCAAAAGCGAGGCTCCAGGCCAAAAGGTGATGGAACCTTCTTAGTCCGGCCTCCTCAGCTCTGGAAGGATCTGCCCGAGGGGATAAGGCTCCAACAGT